GCCACTGCCAACTCCAATGGAAAACGGTCCGGCTTGCCAAATCCAGAGCTCTAGAAAAGTCCTACTTCTGGGAATCTGCTCTACATAAGTTGTCATGATGCAGCCAAACTTTATGTGCAAATAGATTTAATGCAGCAGTATTTTTAATAGGAAAAATTTAGAATTAACGTAAGCGTTCCGCAGAAGGAAATTGGTTAAATAAATTTAGTCAGGGAACGGTAGAATATCTCACAGCCATTGGGATATAGTTCTGGAATATAGATTTGTGGGCTTTAGTGTTTCCTGAATGAAGATAAATAATTGCATAGACAGAGGGGTGTTTATAATATAAATTTGTAGAAAACCGCCTGGAAGGAACTGTGCCAACAGAGTAAGCAGGTTCCCTCTCGGTGGTGAGATGACAAGTGACTGTTTCTCTTGTGACCGTCTCTGACTGTCCGTAGCAGCACGACTAGTCAAGAGCAAAGCACTGAAGATCCCAGCATCCCCCACCCCAGCCCCCGACTCCCTTTCCCACTTTTAACAGTTTGTTCTCGATGTTTTCTTTGGAATCCACCGCATATTGCCTTTGAAACTTACATGTACAATCAGAAAAATAATATGGTGAAGGGAGAAAAAATACAAGGCTCTGAAAATGAATCATAACGTCACGGAAAATTAGAAGCGTAGACTTTTTTACAAAGCAAGTCTTTCTTTTTACAGACAAGGAAGCCAGACTCAGTGAGGGAGGTCGGGAGCCTTGTCGAGCTGGGGCTGGATTGCGGGTTGTGCGGGCAGAGCTGGGGCTGCAGCCCCTGGGGCTCTGGGAGCTCGGAGGAGGAGGAGGCTGCAGGGAGGCAGGATGCTCCGGCGGCTGGGGTGGGGCAGGCTGAGGAGGCTTCTGCTGGATGCAGGCAGGCAGGCACCTGGGTCCGAGGGGGCAAAGTCCTCGTTTATGGCCGTGGGGGAGTTAATGTGTAATACGTTTAGGATATAAGCTTGACCATGACGCGAGAGCCTGAGCACAGGCCTCCAGGAGCTGCTGGGAGCTGCTGCCAGGAGCTGTCACCGTGTCGGTGAGGATGCTGGCTCCCCCACCCGTCATCTGTGTCCTTGCCTGGGTGGGAGGCTTTTGGGGAAAAGCATCGCTGCCCCTCTCTGGGCCTCAGTTTCCCCATCTGTATAGTAAGGAAGCTGGACAGATGATCTCCACAGCCCCTTAGCAGCAGGGTTCTCTGCTCCCTCTGCCACCATCCTGCAGGGAGCACGAGCCTTTCTCTCTTGCCTCCGTTTTTCCATTGGTAATAATAGTAATAACCATAATAAAATAATTGCTAACATCTATTGAGCTTCATAAAGATCAAGAACATGAGGCTGGGAGATTCAATGGCCCAAGGTCACCACCTGTAAATTGCAGGGGGTTGAGTGGATCCCCTTTGAGGTCCCTGATTCTTTTTTTGCTTTATTTTTATTTATTTGTTTTTTTTAGAGACAAGGGTCACGCTGTGTCACCTACGCTCCACCTAGTGGAGCGTAGTGGCTCCATCATAGTTCACTGTAGCCTCGAACTCCTGGGCTCAAGTGATCCTCCTGCCTCAGCCTCCTGAGTAGCTGGGAGCCCCGGTGCGCACCACCACGCTTGGCTAATGATCCTTTGATTCTATACCTGACTCTGCCACAGCTTGCTGCATGGCCTAGGACAAGTCTCTGCCCCTCTCTAAGCCTCAGTCTCCCTCAGCGTCTGTGGAGTGGGATCACAGGCGGCATCTTCTGAGGACGAGACAGTGTATTCATTTCCTAGGGCCGCTGTACCGAATTACCACAAAATGGGTGGCTTAAAACAACAGACATTTGTTCTCTCCTGGTTTTGGAGGCTGGAGTGTGAAATCAAGGTGTTGGCAGGGCCGTGCTCTCTCTGAAGTTGCTGGAGGGATCCTTCCTTGTCTCTCCCAGCTTCTGGTGGTTGCTGGTGATCCTTGGCATTTCTTGGCTGGTGGCAGCGTTGCTCTGATCTCTGTCTCCATCTTCACATGGCTTCTCCTTTGTGCGTCTGTGTCCAGATTTCCCTCCTCTTATTAGGACATCAGTCATATTGGATTTAGGGTCCACCCTAAGCCAGTATGAACTCGTCTTGATTACATCTGCAAAGACCCTATTTTATTTTATTCATTTTTCTGAGACAGAGTCTCGCTCCATTGCCCAGGCTAGAGTGCCATGGTGTCAGCCTAGCTCACTGCAGCCTCCAACTCCTGGGCTCAAGCGATCCTCCTGCCTCAGCCTCCTGAGTAGCTGGGACTACAGGTGCGTGCTGCCACACCCCGCTAATTTTTCTATTTTTAGTAGAGATGGGGTCTCACTCTTGGTCAGGCTGGTCTCAACCTCCTGAGCTCAAGCGATCCTCCAACCTCAGCCTCCCAGAGTGCTAGGATTACAGGTGTGAGCCACCGCGTCTGGCCAGCATCCCTATTTCTTAATGTCCCCTGACCCCCGGCCTTTTGAGGGCCTCTGCAACAGCCCCACCCCATCCTTGGGGGCCCTGGGTTCTTGAGTTTCAGCCAGGCAGCCCCCAGACAGCTGCAAGGGGAGCGGGGATACTTTTCTCACCCCAGTCCCAGCCATCCCGTCCCCACCCTGACTGTCCCAGGGTCTTGGGTGGGGGGCAGGCTACCGGGAGGAGATAGTCCCCTGATGCCGGGTGTCAGACACGCGTGCGCAGAGCGGAGCGCAGGTCTGTGAGTGCTGGCTGTGTGACCGGCACACCTGTGCTCTGCATCTTGTTTGAACCCCTTTGTGGGGGACTGTGTCTGTCCTCACTGGACAACCTCGTTTCCCGGAGGTGATGTTCTTCATCTGTCAGTGAAGAGGCTGAAGCAGAGTTTTAATCCAGTCTGTCTGGCTCCAAAATCTGAATCCAGCTGTCACATTAAGCACAGATCTGAGGGGTTAGGCCTCCAGCCTCCAGATCCCACTTTCTCTAAAGCAGGGAGATTTTGCCCCGAGAGGACATCTGGCCCTGTCTGGAGATACTTTTGGTTGTCACAACTTGGGGGAGGGTGCTACTGGCACCCAGTGGGTAGAAGGCAGGGATGCTGCGCAAAACCCTACAGGACAGCCCCGCGACAGGAGCCATCGTGCCCCAAAGGCCAGTAGAGCCGAGGCTGAGGAGCTCTGCTCCAAGGCGGCCCCGTGTCTGACTTGCCTCCATCCTGGCCCCACGCTTCTGGGTGAAGGGCTGCCTCTTTCAGGCCTTCCTTTGAAACTACTGACGCTGGGAGAGCCAGGCGGGGCGATGCCTCATGACCCTGCCCTCAGTGTGGACCAGCGGGTCGCTTCCTCCTTCCCACAGAGGAGGCGGCTGCCAGCAGGAGAGTATTGATCGTCCTCCCACGGCCACTGCCCTCGACGCAGGGCAAAGTGCCCCGGTCCGATGAGTTGGTTTAGGACTTCTCACATTGTGTGCTCTCCAAAAGAAAAAAAAAAAAAAAAGGTCAGTGAACAGAACTCCAAGCATGTAAAAGTGTTCTCCCATGAGTTGTTCTAGAATTACGGATGTAGAAAGTGCCCCGGTCCGATGAGTTGGTTTAGGACTTCTCACATTGTGTGCTCTCCAAAAGAAAAAAAAAAAAAGAAGTCAGTGAACAGAACTCCAAGCATGTAAAAGTGTTCTCCCATGAGTTGATCTAGAATTACGGAAGTAGAAAGTGGACGTTGGCTGGGCGCGGTGGCTCATGCCTGTAATCCTAGCTCTCTGGGAGGCCGAGGCGGGCGGATCGTTTGAGCGCAGGAGTTCGAAACCAGCCTGAGCAAGAGCTACTAAAAATAGAAAGAAATTAATTGGACAACTAAAAATATATAGAAAAAATTAGCCGGGCATGGTGCCGCATGCCTGTAGTCCCAGCTACTCGG